CTGTGAGGGAAAAGAACAACAACAAAAAAAAAAATCTGGATGGTGTTTATGCTGGRTTTCAGTTTCACCTGACAACTAATTAAATAATAGCAAGATAGAAGGTAAAACATGAATTTTTACATCCATCTAAACAACAACATGGATTCAGGAGATGATACACTTTGTATGTACTTTAGTGAATATGGTACCTGTGAAATAAAACAATGCATTCCCTAATGGCACACGCATCAACAGGGAGAATAAAACTATTTTGTCTGCTAAAAGAAAATAATGCAAACACCTCTGGAAGTAAAAGGGTAACTCTGCCAGAAGAATCTTGGAATTTTTGCCAGGACTACATSTAAGGTTGGTAGCAATCCTTTATCCCAGTTGTAGAGGCCATCTTGCTCTTTGCAACTGTCTGAAAGGAGTCTGTAGCCAGGTGGGGATTGGCCTCTTCTCCCAGGGAACAGTGGCAGGACAAGAGGATGTGGCCCCAAACTGTGCCAAGGGAGGTTCAGGTTGGACATCAGGAGGAATTTTTTTCATGAAAGGAGTGTTAAGCATTAGATTGGRCTGCCCAAGGAGGTGGTGAAGATACCACCCCTGAAGGTGATCAATAAATGACTGGAGGTGGCACTCAGTGCCATGGTTTGTTGACAAGGTGGTGACTGGTCAAGGGTTGGATTKGATCATCTCAGAGGTCTTTTCCAACATTAATAATTCCAMAATTTCTACAGTGACCGACTGAAAAAATTAATCACAAATCACAAAGAAACCCCCCACACCTGGCAGGGAAGGATTGAGTTGTTCAGCCATCCACAGGATAAAACAACTGTGGCTTTTCACAGGGGTGAGAAGTGAACTAAGATGGGGAAACTCAAGCAGAGCTGCTCATAAGGTGCCACAGACAATGTCAGACACTGCTGGCTCCTCCAGCTGATATCCATGCTGCAGAAAACCCTTCTCAACAGCAAAAGGCACTTGCACAGCTACATGGAGGCAACACAACTCATATTTTGTAATATATGAAGTTTAACATTTTAARCAGGTCCAGTTTAACTATTTGAATTAAAGCAGTAAAGAATGATGGACCTTCCCCAGGAAACACCTGAGTRAAGCTCCTTCATTTCACCATGACCCTTCTAAATTAACATCCAAGTATGGCTGCCATGGGTTCCTCAGTCTAAGCAGCTGCCTGAACCTCAAGCTAATTTACCCACATATTATTTACTCACATGCCTTTCAGTGTGATTATGGTTCTCCAAGATAAGTGRAGACATTTAAATTTTCCGTTTCCTTTTAATTTCCAAATGTTTACAGACTGTAGCTTGTTCATTAAACCATTTACTAAAGCCAACGCTTGCTCCACTTTATCAACCTCCTCCACAGTTCTTCAGAGTTTTACTCCATCACAGCTCCTTTCTGGGCTGAGAACAAACCACTCCCTTCCCTCTCTGTCAAAACAAATACTTCTGAAAAAGAGAATCATTCTCCTCAYCCTGCAATGGAGCACCTTTAAATGCAAACAGACCCTTTTCCTTCAAAATCACTACAGAAATACAAACACGCACAATGTGAGCTTTACTGCAGTTGTGCTCTTGACTAATCGCTTTGAGGATTTTCCTTCAAACCCTTAAATCTCTTTTCCAAGTCAGTATGCTGTGTAACTATTCCATGTAATGTGTATTCTTTGATTTGGCTTGCTATTCCTTGGCATGTAATTTTTGTTTTATCTACAATAAGCTGCATTTTGAAGCCACTGACTAAATCACCTTTGAGATCTGCCTTTTTTTTTCCCACTGCTCACCATCACTTTTTGGAGTTACTCTGGTGATACAACCAGAMAAAGCTCAGTCACATTAAACATCCTCATCCAAATTCATTACCTGTGTTACAAACGTGCCAGGTTCCCAAATAAACCCGAGTTAAAYCATTCCCATCTCAATGCCTTACCACTCTCAGATTGGCTGAGTTCAGAAGTGCAAATTTGGTAGGGCTGAATTCCACACACAGAATCACAGAATCACAGAACGGTTTGGGTTGGAAGGGACTTTAGGAGCACCTCATTCCAAGTCATGGGCAGGGACACCTCCCACTGTCCCAGGCTGCTCCAAGCCCTGTCCAACCTGGCCTTGGACATTTCCAGAGATGGGGCAGCCACAGCTTCTCTGGGCACCCTGTGCCAGGGCCTCCCCACCMTCACAGGGAAGGAWTTYTTCCCAATATCCCATCTAWCCCTGCCCTCTGTCAGTTGAAGCCATTCMCCCTTGTCCTGTCCCTCCATCCCTTGTCCAARGYTCSTCTCCAGCTCTCCTGGAGCCCCTTCAGGCAATGGAAAGGGCTCTGAGGTCTCCACAGAGTCCTCTTTTCTCCATGCTGAACATTCCCAATTCCCTCAGCCTGGTCACAGACCTAGAACTGGCTGGTGGTGGCCCCTGTGCAGTACAGACACAGCCCCATCAGGGCGTAATTTTCAATATTTGCACGTGGATAAAGGTTAAGGGATTTTCCCTAAACCACCAAGTCTGTGACTGCATTGAAAAGACTGATTTACCAACCCMAATTTAACTAAGRKATTTTGAAAAATCACTGCTGTTAAGACAAATTGCTTGAGGTGTGAGAGGTCAGGCTACCTGGGCAGGCTKTATCCCCTGACTGCCTTTAATCTCTTGGCCAACCACCCACTYACTGCACCATTTCTGTTTCTGAAGAGGTTTCCTCCTTAGTTTTCAACCCTTATAAATCTGATCCATCATTGCAGAATTCCTAATAATATTAGATAAAACTCCACCATTTCTCTCTGGAATACACTCTTTAATATCTTTTATTTAAGACATGTGTGTGCAATCAATTCCAYGGTATTTACTTGTATTACACACACAGTATTCATCATCTTGACAATTTTCAAAAGTTTTAGAACACCATTTCACTTAACAGTTTGAAAAAAAAAATAGAAGAGAAAGAGATTTATTTGATGGTTAACTTTGGAACAAGTTATCTGCATTAACTTCCATTGTTTTGGCATAAAGTAGTTCTGTATATTTTACTAACAACAGTGGAGACATGATAAAAGATTTAGGCAGAGAGCCATAAACAGCTCTTGCTGCAATCCATGGTGTTTGTGGAAAGGCATTAATTTTTGGATTTTGATTGGAGGATGTCTCTGTGCTCAGCCACTTGGATTTTGCTAAATACAACCACGAATAAAACCTTGTACCTGAATAGAACAATTTCAACGGCGGGAAGGCCGCTGTAAATCATGTGTAGTATAAACTTGTCCACACGATTGGAATGATATAATGGATATTGGAGTCCCTAACCACCAGCTAATGTTCTTTATGACACTTAAATAAATGACCTGAAAATAAACTAATAACAACACAAAGTCATCTAAACCTGTTCATGTGCATTTCCCAGAAGCATGCTGGAAAAAGACAATGTCTAGTTAGTGCATTTTTTGTGTTTACATTTTCTCCAGAACATTTTTGCTCCTCCAGACTCACAATAATTCTTTTCTGCCACCTTATAGAGGCATCTATCCACCCAGTACCTGCCCAGATCTTGGTCATTKAAAAACACCTAGAGAGCTACCACAGCAGAGAAGTGGGATTTAGTTCTTGAGAAGTACACACCATTTTTCTCAACCTTAGCTACAAAACACAGCAAAAATGCCACAACATTCTATTTTTAATATGGGAGAAGCATTTTATTATTATTATTAACTTGCGGTAGTGAACTCTTGCTCATGTGAAACTTTCCAGAAAAAGAATTATCATCAAAACTTACAAATATTAACACTTTCAACGGATTCCACAAGGTACTGTCCCTTATATTTAAAAAAAAAACATGGAAACTTTTATGCATAACTCATATATATTTAAACATTGAAAGTTCAGAACAAAGAGTGAGGACTTAGATATCTAATTTTAGTATCACAACTTGTTTCCAAATTTCTTTTATTTATTAGRATTTTTGAGGCTCTCCAACACATTGAACAGTCAATCTTAAAACTTCATGAAGACTCTACAAAGAGTAAGCCTTGAAAACTTTCCCTTTTTGCATACTGGGTCTAGATGTTTAGTTAAAAAGATGGGTTAAATATTAAACTAAGTTCMTATGTAATAAAAATTCAATATTCCTAAAATTCAGAGTTTCAATCTAAATATTTGCTACTGCAACAGATATTTTTTAACTCACAATCTATATAKTATACATTTTCTTTTCATTTATGCTATGAAACCCTGCTCTGAGGAAATCCATGTACTTTTCCTTAAAGCAGACACGTTTTTCCGACACGCGTTTCTTTTTTGCAATATGTGGCCATGTTCCATCCTATGTGTTTATTCACAGCACTTTATTTGCCCTAATGAAAAAAAAAAAAATAGGAATTGGATTCTTTCCTATGACATCAAGAGTCATTTTGTGTGTCATTTTATTAAAAACAACAACAAAAAAAGGGAAGGGCCATGGTGTCACTGATCAATGGAGAGAAACCACATTAGAGCAGAGTACTGCTTTAGGTCAGACCAAATTCTACAAYAGTTTTGGGAGATTGTAAGGATGGATGAAATAAATAAATTTTAAAAGTTAATTAATAAACACTGGCCCTTCTCTAAATGTAGTTACATTTGGGTGCAAAGTTAGAGTTCTGAAAGAGCAATGGATTTTTAATTTATTAATTATTTTTAATACTGCCATAAAAAAAGTTTAAAAACAATAGAACTATGGAATGKTTCGGGYTGGAAGGGATTTTAAGGATCATCCCATTCCAAGCCTCCTGCCATGGACAGGAACACCTTCCACTAGACCAGGCTGCTCCAAGGCATGCTCCCATATTACTGACCAAGTGCTGTACAAATACCAAGTTTATGTTTTCCAAAACTCAAGAATTTTGGTGATTCTATTCTAAGAAATAATGAAAAAAAGAAATATGAAAGCAGATTTTGGGGCGCCAAACTGGAACAGACAGCAACTCGATTAATATATACTTGATTTATTCATATATAAAATCACATATT